AATAACCCTGATATTAATCTGATGAAATAATTAGACAAAATAACATAAACCGAAGAAGAAGAAAACATAGCTTTAACTAAGAAAAATTAAAATTTATTCTTCTATTATTAGAAAATCATAAACCCAAAAATTTAAAAATAATGCCTTACTTATTTTTCCTGCAGTCGTGGACATCACTAAAGGAGTGTAATAAAAAAGTCTTTTGGGCAAAAAAAAATTTGCAAGGAATGTTAAAGTTTGAAAAAAAAAATGTGGAATGTGCGAGCATTATAAAAATCTACATGTTGCACTATTTTAAAAATGCTTAGAAACATGATGTTAAGCATCTAATGGTGAAGGTGAAACGACTGCATTTACAAAACTTTTTGTTTTACAAAGTCACAAGTGAACAAAGCTTGTCTATTGAATGCAAAATTTGCAGATATTTTAGTTCTATACATAAACTAATGCATATTTAATAAAATGTTTGTTAAATTAGAAATATGAGGAAAAAAACTATTTTATACAAAGAGTACCTAATGATAATCTCTCATAATGGTAACTATTGAGCATGTCAGTTTATTACATAATTGAACACTTTTTTAAAATAAAAATAATTAATAGAAAGCATAATTTGAGGTAGACACAGGCAAAAAAGTATTAATTTGAAGAAAAGTTTGTCAGACAAAAAATTATTAACGAATGAAAATAAATCTAAAAACATTTACTATGATTATACTAATAAATAACCAGATTAACAACAAATAAATTAAAACAAACTGAAAACATGAGCTACATAAAGATTTCTAAACACAAGTTTCTGTGTATGAATTAATATAATTGGCTAAATAAAATGAAAATTTATCTGAAAGTTATTTCTCTACATACTTTCTTTCATTTGTTGAAAAAAATTTAAGATATTAAGAATGCTCATTACTTAACATTTTAAGCAGCAAGACAGCTTTTAATCAACAGTGAAATTTATTATTACTTAATACATATCATTATTTAAAATATAGGGTGTTTGCAAAGTCCCTGAATAAATTTATCCTATTACTGTGAGCCCTCTGTAAGAGGTAGTGCTTCAGATTTTAATGGTGTTATTGCACGTATATAAAAATCTACATGTTACACTATTTTAATAATTTCTTTTTGTTAACGTACACATAATGTGTATGGAGGATTTGGGGATCCAAAAATCCTAATGTTACATGGGTGTTGAAGGGAGACAGCCTAAAACTGAATATTTGGTGTGGGATGCTACATAATATTTTAGGACCATTTTTCGTCAATGAACAAACTATAACAGCCACAGTTTTTCTCGATACATTGATTAATTACATTTGTCTACAGTTGGTAAGCTGTCAACCAGATGTCATTTTGTCCCATGCCAAGGTTGTGCAACTTGCGTTAGTCGTTACAAAAAACTTTTAACCTTGCTTGTGAAAGTATGACCACTACCAAAGGTATAAGTTGTTCCATTCCCAAAAAACAAGCTGTTAAAACTGTTTAGAGATTTTGTGGACCAATGTATTTTATTTTCATTAATCATCTAAATACTGTTTTAGTGATGGGAAGGTTATAAAAACTAATGAGAATAATGTAAATAATTATATAAATCTAGCTAATAAATGTTGTTTAAATACAGCTCTTTATGATATGATCCAAACTGCCATGCTGCTTAGAGGGTTAAGAAAATGTGCATATTAAAATTTCAAAAGATTTCGGTATTCTGTAACATTTTCTTGAAGCAAAATTTATTTTTAAAATGCTAAATGCAAATATACGGTTTATCTACAGAAATAAATTTATATCAAATTATGATTTTATTTTGCATGCAGAAAAGTTTTTTCATGCCTAGAAAATAAACAGGCATTGTCAAAAAGATAAACACATGCCTTTCCCCCCCAAAAAAAAATGCTCAGAAGTATCTAAATACCATTTGCTTCAATATCAGCTTTCAAGAGGGATTGTAAAAGTTATAATCATATTGGGCTGCTAAAATATCTTACTTCTCTTGATTGTTTTCTTTGGGCTACAGAGATATACGAGTGGACAAAATGACACTCATTTGAACTCTTAATATCTTGCAGAGCCGTATGGTCCAACCCGTGGCTTGTAGGCTACAGATGGTCCTCTTATTCATTTTTGTTGGCCCTTGCCCTTCTTACTGGACAAAAAATATTAATGAAATATTTGGAAAAAATATACATATATATACTCTTCTTACTGCATTTGTGCGAAACAGGCCATGTAAAACAGTCATTAGGATACAAATTAGCTGGCAGTGTTCAGTAAAATTAAAGGAAATGCCATCAGCACAGCAATTCAGGACAGAAAGACAAATGCTAAGCATTTTTTTCCCTGTTGTGTTACAGGACATACAAGAAAGAAGATTTATTGCTATTGGCAATGCTGTCCATCAGATGGTAGTTTCTTTGATTCCCAGAGATAGCAGCACCTTAAATATTCATTTCTTCAAATTTCACTTTCATTTAGTGCTACCTAAAACAGTGGATCTTAAGAAATGGCATGTCGAAGACGAGATATGACCAGTTTCAGACTAAGTGGAAAAAAAAAAAGATTACTTTTTTATTGAACATAATGGAAAGCCACACTGTGTTATCTGTTCTCAAGTCTTAAGGGTTTCAATGGAGAATAATGTGAATAGACATTATACCAGCCTTGAGCAAATCAATATATGAGTAATACCAGGAAGTGCCAAGAGTTGTGTGTTTAATAAGAGACTGAAACTTACTAGACAGAAGAATATCTTTCAGCAGCCATCAAACACTGTTGGTTTGAAGGCATCTTATGAGGTAGAACAAGTTAAAAGTCTTTTAGAGATAGTAAGCTCATTAAAAGCTGTGACATAGAAATGGCATCTTCATTTAAAGAAAAGATGGCTAAAAGTTTCGAAACAGTGTTCTCGTCTCATCAGACAGCAAGCAGAAGAATTAATTAAATGGGCAGTGAAGTTTCAGGTACTCTCAAGGGAATTTTGGAAATATGCGGATTTTATTTTCAAGTTTTAACTGAGAGCACAGATACAGGTGACATCAGCTAGCTATTTTTACATCAGTTAGAACAATAAACAAAGAATTTGAAATTCATGAACTGCTGGAATTAAAATCATTAAGAAACCAGCACCAAAGTTAATGATGTATTCAATGCATTGGCTAATGTCATTTCTAAATATGGAGGTTTGGAGAAGTGCTCTGACACTGCAACAGATGGAGCTAAATGAATAGCTATAGAATTGGGATAGTAGGGCTGTGTGAAATAAAAAGGCATACACTGGTTGTTTCTCCAATGCATTATCCACCAGGAATTTCTCTGCAGAAAAAATATAAGGCTCAGCAAAACATGAAAGCTACTGAAAGAAAAACTGGAAGAAAAATGGAGAAAAAAAAAAATGGAAGAAATTTTTGATTTTAAATAATCTTGTTTTCTTGATAGATTTAACAGCCCTTCTAAATTATTTAAACCTAAAACTACAAGGCAGAAAACAAAATGCTTCCCACCTTTATGAACATACATAAATTTGTGGATTGACTTCCACAAAAAATTTGATGCAATGTAAATTAAAGGCAAATAATACAGCACACTTCCCATCTTGTAAGCAATTGAAAGAAGAAACTACAATCGAGTCTGAGACTGATTTACTGAAGTACAGTGGCCATTGTTAAATTTGCATCACAAAAGCACAACTATCACATTGATATTTTGATTATGAAATAAAGTAATATGTTAAATTAGTAAATTATATGTAATTTGCTTTCATTCTTTAATATTTCTGGCCCTCGCTTTCCTGTATAAAAGTTTGACTGGCCTCGGGTAACTAAAGGTTGGACCATACTGTATGTAGAGTATATAAGTTTCTTGTGATTAAAGCAAATCCATAATTTAATATTTTAAATGAAATGAATGTTAGAGAAAAATATCCTGGAGTTTTCTAAGGCAAATAAAATTATATTTATAATCTGAGCACACTAATCTTGTTTATTCAATTAGATATTTTAATACTTTTCCTAAAATACATGTCATTTCATGACGGCAGGAAGAAGTTTAACTATGATAACTAATGTTACTCATTCAAAACAGCTGAAATTACAAATTTTGGGGGATTGTTTTCAAAAGGCAGTAATAAGAAAATACTGCTAAGTGCATTTAATACTGCAATGCAGTTCTAATAATCTAGAAGATCATGAAAAGATATGCTGATATAAAATCGTATAGGACAAATGTCATTCTCGTATTTTTTATTTATTATAATTATCATTATTAGAAATATTTTGATTTTATAGAAATATGCATCATAAAAAATGATTCTTATACTTTAAACCCAAATTCAAGTTCAAAACATGCAGAGAATCTCTCAGAAAGAGATATGGTAAAATACTAATCAGAATCAAAATATTTAAATTTCACTGATTTTAGATTAAAAGTATCAACCTAAAATTAAAAATATTTTAGATTTAGCTTAAAAAATTATCAAAGTAAACAATCATTCATACATTTTATGAAATTTCTCTGTATAACAATTTTATTCTTTATATACCATTAGATTTATTTCAATCATGACTTAATTCTATTCATTGTACATACATATGTATTATCACAGATAATTATGAATTTAAATCTTAGGCTATAGCAATCAACTAATTTACATTTCATACATATTCTTTCCCCTTCTTGCTAAGAGATTTACGAAATGAACAACAAAATCAAAAATATACAAGATAAAACTTTAAAAAAAAAAAGACACACTATAATCCATAAAATTCACCGGTATATTAAACACTACAATAACTCAAAGTAAAAAAAAAAAAAAAAAAAAAAAATCCAGAAATTTTTTTTTTTTTTTTTTTTTTTTTTTTTTTTTTTTTTCAAATGCTAAAAAATTTTAAAAAAAAAACCCAAGTAGAGTTTCTGTTTTGGAAACTAATTACCTTAACAATTACTAAAATATTTCTACTTGGAAATAGGTTAATAAAAGGAGTAAGGAGCTGAACAACAGAACAAAAAAAAAAAAAAAAAAAAAAAAAAAAAAAAAAAATTTATTTTTTTTATAAGTAACATTAGCAATGAAAGCTAATTGGAAATATTAATCATTTGAATCAAATATAATCTTAACTCTGCAGTGCTTACCTCTCAAGCTAAATTTCATGAAACTCCAAAAACCACAATTAAAAGAGCTAAATGAATGACACATTCTTTGGTTTATGCTAAAGACTTATCTGCAAAGCATAAAGGGTCAGAAGTGTTTTGTATATATATATATATACTGATTAGTAAATGATTATCACCAAATACTATAAAAATACAAGATCAAATACTCAAAAGTAATATTTAATTTACAACTGAACTGTTGATAAAACTGAAGCTTAACCATATATATATATATATATCCAAAGATAAATCTTTTTTTATACTTAGGACTGCATTTGAAACCATTTGACAAAGATTTAGAAATGAAATACAACACTGTAAAACATATTAAAGCAGACATAAAAAACATATGTTAAGTAAATATTCAAAACCTTGTACACTAAAAGTGAGATAACAGTAGATCTACAATTTTGTTTACGGAAAATTGTATAATGCTGCATAAATTAAAAAAATCCTTTATTATTAAAATTATTACAGAAAGGTAAATAGATCCAAACTTTAAATTTGGCCATGTACAGATTTAAAGTAAATTAGAAGAAGAGAGAGAAGCGGTACAATTAACTCAATAGTTATTTGATGATTTGAAAGGATAAGACTTTCGTTTAGCTTAGTTGTTAAAGGAAAACTACAAGGTGATTTTCCTTCCCCACAAAAAAAAAAAAAAAAAAAAAAAAAAAAAAAAAAAAAAAAAAAAAAAAAAACACAGTCTCATTACGTTTTTCTGTTTTTGAACACATTAGAAACTTTACCTGCACAACAGAACTATTACTATTACTAATATCACCTTAACAAGTACTCCAAATCAAAACTATACTAAGAGCATACCAATAAAGTTTAATTTTTGGAAAGTCAAAATGCAGTTTTTAAGTCTTCAGTTAAATCTGTAATTACTTCTTGATTTACAGGAAATATTTACTCACAATTACACAATTTAAATATAATTATATTCGTTGAGATGTTTGAACATTTGGACGAAAATAGCTTCATGAATTATTGCAAATAGAAATATATCCGTGATTTTTTAAGGATTAGTTTTCATTCGGTGTTTTCATGAACATTACCTTTTCTTATAAAAACAGAACTATGTTCATAAAAAGTTTTTATAAGAGTTTAGTCCTAAAAAGCAAATGAGGTAAGCACAGCAAAAATTCCACATGTCTGTAATATTAAAGTGCCCACAGTGCTCCCATAAGTATTTTATAGCAATCACTAAAAAGTTTTAACAATCACAACATGGTTCATCTGCTCTTTTTTCTGGTGCAGTATAATGAAAAAGGAATGTTTCACCAGATATAGTCACAGCAATAATTTCACTCATTTTAATAAAATTTCAGAAAATAATTTAAAAAAAAAGTGCTACTATGTTACCCCCCAAAAGTGCTAAAATTAACAAAAATAAAGAAAGATTAAATTTATCATTTTTAACTAAGCTTTTGGTTAATTTTTTAAGTGTGACTGAAGTTTTTTTTTTCCCACTATAATGCATAATTAAGTAAACACAGACATAGCAATAAAAAGGTCATATACATATTTTTTAAAAAAACCAGGAAAATAAAAACTTTCTACAGCATTTTCTCCCTCCTTTGCATATTTTACATTAGAAAAATTTACGAGTATGCAGATGAGAAATTTATTCAAACTTACAGAATAATCAAAAATGACTTAACATATCTCATCTATAAGTAATTGTGAGCTCAATAAATAACTTTCATTAAGGAAAAATTGTATTTCAGAGTACGCTTTTAGAAATAACAATTGCTTAAATACCTTGAAAATAATGAAATCATTAAGGTATTAAATAACAAATGATTTTTTAGACAGCTGACATTTAATTATTAAATTTTTAAATAGATGATTATTAATTTTTATGAAATAAGTGGTGACTAGTTTAGATATTTCTATAGATCAGTAAGTACAATACTATCTTTTCGTCTAAAAAAGAAGGTACTAGACTTCACAATTCATTTGATATATATTTTAAGAATTATTCTCGCTCTATTAATGGTCTAACAAAACTACACTTAATAGAAGCAGAAGATTTTAGAAACCTTACAACTATCATAAAAATAAATATATTTACACTATTTTACAATTGTTAAAAGGATAGTCTTAAAGCAGCTAAAAATATTTACCCTCCAAAAATTTCATTAAAATTGTTATATATCAGAGTATTGCAGCATTTGGAAAGAGAAGCACTGCTTTACAGGATAATGAAAATGAAACTTACACGAGTATTTATGTGCAAAAATGTGCTTGTAAACTGTTTATAAAGACTTTAGATAGGAAAACACTAGAATTGTAAAAAATGAATCATTTAAATTTATATTCTTCAAACCTAATGACCTCTCAAATGAGATTTGTGCCAAATGGTATCACATTATTACTAGCTTACTTATAATTTATTCATGAGAAAAGAAAATTTTTTTTTTTTTTTTTTCATAAAAAGAAAAAAGCTTCTAGAAAATACGTTAGATATTTTCAATTTTTCCAAAAAATAATGCCGTAAGCAAAAATTTCACTTTTATCACATTTTGCTTTTTGTAGAAAACAATTTTAAATGTAATGTATATTATATAATTTTTTTTCACGAGTCAAAAATTTACAGCAATACACTTTGGGAAAAGGTAAACTTTCAAAATATTAATACCTATTTTTTCATTAGCATATACAGCTCTTGAACTTGCATCTCTAGCATGCATATACTAAATGTGCAAGTATAAAAAATACTTTAAGATCACAAGTTGTTATTTATATTACATTTAGCTTTGCATAGACTGAAGAAATTCTATAATGGTTCATTCACTAGTAATTCACTGTTCATGAAATATTTATAGAAAACTAAAAAAACAAATGGAAGGGAGGGAACTTAAAGTTGGAGATTTGTACTTGTAATCTAACTAAGCTTTTCATACATTACATACAGCCTGAGATTCATGAAATTTCGCCAACAATGTACAAATGTCACTATGTATGAAAATCTAAAACTAATTAATTTTTTTAACTCCATTACTGTTTTCTAATTCCTTTTGGCACTGGATTTCATTAGATTGTGCTTGTGATTCAGTATTCTCAGAAATATTCGGTACATATCCATTGCCTTTAACAAAACCGTTTGCTTTTGAACAACCATTCAGAAAAGCCTTAGAACCTAAACTGTGGCCATTTGTAACTGAATAGCCATTTCTGAAAGTTAGTGAAGTTTCTTCTTTTTCTAAATGTGCAGTCTTCGAGTCTTCAGAAAGAGAATGTTTCTTCTTGCGATATGCATTCCTGTAGAAATCGGCAAAGAGGAACCAAAACAAAACTGCATGGAATCCAATCCAATACATGAAGCCACTGGGATAGTCACAGTTGATAAATAGAAGTTGAAATGAATGAGTAAATATCAACACAAACTGAACCTGCAAAAACAAGCATAAATTACATGGGTTGTGCTGCCACAAAATCTATACATAATATGCATCGTTGAAAGAAACTGCAACAGCTGCGTAAAAAATTACATTGGCACTGGCAGCTCTGAAAGTTATACAAAGAAAAGTATAGTGCAGCTAAATCAGGGCCAAGAGAGAAGGAATGGGAAAGGGGAAATCAGGTGTTAATGTACGTGAAGGCACCAAAATCTTTCATATCCTTAGGGCCTCTAAACATTTTAATACCTGCTCCAGGGTGTATTAATGTGCACTTGCTAACACCAAGTACTAAAAATCAGTACCTAAAACGTTTTAAAACACTTACCATTTGTATTGCTGTAATATATTTCTTCCACCACAAATACTTGCTCATATGTGGTCCAATAGCTGCTAAGCCATAATAACTGTACATCAAAATGTGAACAAAACTGTTAATAAATGCAAAGAATGTGCTGTGTCCTCCTAAAATGTTAAAAAACTCATAAAGCAATCACCATTATAAAGAAATAATTTACATTTTGAATTTATATGCAAAGAACAAAATTTATGAAAAATGCATAAAATTATACATCTGGCAAAAGTTTCTACAAGCTTTATTAAAAAATAATGAAGATAAACTTTTATTAAAACTATGTCCTTTAAGAAATTTTCTCCTTTTTTTCAATTAGTGAACATGCATCATTTACTAAGAAAACTGGCATTTATTACATATAAATTTGAAAGGAAAAGATTCGGTGTAACATTTAGTAGTAATCATTATGGCACATGATTATTTCAACTAACCTAAAAATATATTTCAAGGGATAATAAACATCAACTAAGGACAATAAGAAAAATATAATGATGGGGAGGAAAATATATGAAGCTCAAAATTACTTGCCCATCCCCTTTCTGAACTAAATTATTTATAACAGTTTTTTTGAACTGCCTCTTAGAATTAATCTGTTTAAGTAATAATGCTGAAATGCAGTAAGTTATCAGCCAATCAGAGTAAAGAAACATTCTATTAAAAATACCTTTGCTACTACTTACATATTCCTGAAAAGATGAAACTGAAATTATAGAAATTCCATCTGAATTAACTTATTATGCACATTTGTAGAACTTTTTATGAAGATTCAATGTCTGCATTTAACTTTGTTTAACATCAATAAATGGTTCACAATTATGTTTATCCATATAATAGTATAAACATTAATTATTAATTCTATTTTTGTCATGTTCAAAAGCACCTTGATAAGCAAAAGCTTTCTTCCCTACTCAGGATTTTGTGCAAGAAAATTATGAAATGAAAGTAGCCAAAGATCATAAAATGTAGAATATCTAATTATGTAATTAACACTTTACCGATGTCCGACCAGCCACTCAGCCGCAGATTCTCCCTAATAATAAAATGCAGATGATATAACAAACGGCAATTGTTTATCGCTATGGCTACCAATTGATATTTTTAGGTAGCCCTGAGAAAAAAAGCGATTAATAGGCTATCTGTCGACAGGCGTTGGCAAAAAAAGCCGATTAATAGGCTATTGGTCGGTAGGCGTTGGCGATAAAAAGCCGATGAGTTGGTAAAGTGTTAATACACTCTATACAAATAGTTCAATGACCTGAATAATTCATTGTAGACTAAATTCAAATCAATTTAGAGTTTTTCAATACATTAGCCAGACAGTATGAAAAACCTCTTGGAAACTCCAAGTTTTCGCATGATAGTCTTCAGGTTTTTCATATTTCAAGGTTGGTAGCTATGGTGTAATGTTTGCTGGCAAGCAATAATTATGTAGCATGTTTACAAAGTTCTAGTTCAATTCCTAAAATTTATAGGTAACACTATCAATGGGAGACAAGTCTTGACATGTTTATGCAGTGATCTGATTGCAATATTGTTTAGTCCGATTCATAGTTTAGTCTGATTCAGTTTTTGATTGATGTAGGATAGATACATGGCATGCCAATAAAAGTGACTGCGAAAAACAACTAATGTAGATTTTATTTTAGCAGAAGTGCTTCTTGTGATACAACAACAAGCTTTTACATTTAAATCAAAGAGAAGTACCATAAATATACATGTAAAAACAGAACTTTTTGATTTCATTCCCTAGGTGATATTATTTGCTTTGTTCTTTTTCTCTTCATTATAAAGGGCATTTTGGTTAGATAGTTCTTGAAAATTGTGTTTGTGTTACAAGTCTCATTTTTAGCCACAAAAAGGAAAGTATGCTGAACCACTGGAAACACTTCTACTAAAATAAAATCTATGCCATTAAATGTTGGTTTTCATAGTTAGACACAGAGTTTTCTTTTACAAGTTTATGGCTTCCTGGAACTACTGTAAATAATGCTCAAGCAAATTGCAAACTTTGAATTTCTGGAAATATAGTGTTATCCTTTTTGCAATGAACAGATTAACTAAAACAAAAGAATGCAAATATTATACATGACATCCGCTTGTTTCATGATAATGCACTTGCAAAAATATAACAGAACTTTTCTTCCAAAGAATTCAAATAGGATATTTTAAATCTCCCATCATATATTCCAGATTTAGTACCCAGTGATTTTCATATGTTTTATCATCTAAAGAAATACCTTGCTAGGAAATAGTTCAAAAATAAGGTGATATGAGAAACTGAGAGAGTTGAAATAGCAGGAAGGAAATTTTCATGATCTATAGAATTAATGAGTGTTTAATAAATTTAGGCAAAAAAGGAGATTAATACAATTTTTATTAGAAATATTGTTCTAAAAACTTTTGATAAACTAGCTTTTGTGTTATTTTTTAGATATGTTATATATATATATATATATATATATCAATTTGAACTATTTTATTCATACAGATAAGAGCAGAAATAAGTATATTGCATATTTTGAAGGTGAGTGATAAAGTTTATAGAATGAATTATTTTGAGCATGAAAAGGCACATACATTAATAAAAAAAATTTAATGTGCATTATATATAGATTCCATATAAATATTACCTGGTGTAAATTTAAGACCCCACCATACACTCATAGGCATTATTCCATGATGGGTCACATGAAGAGTAGATACTTGATTAAATTTTTTCCTCATTACAAAAAATATCTGAAAATTAACACACACAATTAAATGACAATAAAAATTTTATACATTGTGAAACTTTTTACTAAAAAATAAAAGCAATACAAACTCGATAGAAAGTAAAACTTACTGTATCAGTAAATTCAACAAATTTTGATATAAAAAACCACCAACATACACTTGCCATCTGAAAATAAAGATAAAAATATGTGGGATCAGACTTATTAAATGATACACTTTATTAGAAAAAGTTTATAAGCTAAAATCACTTTGACATGGTAACCCACTTCATTTTAAAGTATATTTATTCCCTTCAGTTCTTACACAGATTGTCCTCCCCCAAAAAGTACACTTGGCTTTTATTCAATTGCGTATCTTTTTTTTTTTTTTAATTAATCTGCAGATATATATATAATGCATAATTGTTCATAAAAAGTAACACATCAGCCATACAAAAGCACTCAGAGAAAATTTAACATTTTAAAAATTATCTAATCTTATCTTTAAATCCCTATTGTTTTCATTTAAAAATCTACAAATTTGAACATTTTTTTCCAATTAAACACATTTATTTCGTAAACTTATAGAGATGCATAAATAAAATAAATTATCCTTCATTGATAAAATACACCACTAACTCAAAAATGCTAAAAATACAACCACCACTCAGATTTCATTTGTTCCCACTTTAATTCTGAATGATGTACATGAGATACCCTCAACCACAACTAGTTTTTACTTCCTTGTACAAAGTAAAAAGGAAGTACTGTAATCATGAAAAATTTTGGGCAGCATATTTCAACAAAAATATCCATTTTGAGCACTACAGAATGCAATTTAACGATGCTTAGCGTGACATCTGTACGTAAGGACAGAATAAAAGATGGTTTTACTCCAAAAAAATTATAAAACTGCTTTAAAATGAATTCAAAAGAAAATTTTTTGTGGCGTCTAAACGTACATATCACGCATAATTAAAAAACGAGTAGCCTCAGAATGTTGAAATTTTGTACATAGGACTGCTGTACATAGCATGTAGATGTGCACCTTGTATTTTGGTTGCAATTAGTAACACAAAACATATATAAATTATATTTGCTTTATATGAATAAAGAATATTTGTTAAATATATTTATATATATATCCACTCTGTTACCCGGCTCAGTGATCTCAGTTTCTGTAATATTATACGTTTGTAAATTGTGCACTTTTTGCTTTAAAAATGATTGAATTATGTTGTTCTTATCTTCTGGTTAAGGTTTTTATGCCTTTAATAAATCTGCATGCAATATTTTTAGAGTTATCAACAATTTAAAAGTTGTTTAAGTGTGGCTAAGCCTAATTATTTTTGCGATGGTGGCCATGTTTATTTACATATGCAACTTGGTAGAATAACGGATTCATTGCCAATCTAGAGAAACTAAGCTTTGCAACAACAAAGATAACGCCTTCTTTTATTATTGCAAATTAAATCATATTTAATCTATTCTGGAATTTAATTGAGGAAATAAGTATTTATGACTTACTCCGTAATTTTGAATATACAGTCAAAAGTCGTTAATTCGGACACCCATAATCCGGACCTCAAAGCTACAAACTTTCTGCGCATGCGTCCTGTTGACGCATGCGCGTAAGACCTTTACCGCTACGAATTTGCGTGTGCGCGTGCGCAAAATACGTTTACGAATGCGCGTTTAATGTATAACGGACGGGATAAGCTAAGCTAAAATTATCTAATTATCTATTTCAGTTAATGTTGCAGATTGCGTTGTTCCTTAATCTTCGAATTGGATCCGGATTATTATTTTTTGCAGACTGTTAGAGCAATTTTATAAAAGTAAGCTTAAACTTTCGATTTTGTCAAATAGAATTTCCGATATATATTTACTAATATGTAAAGGATATACAAAGCGAAAGTATCTTTCGGAGTCCATTAAACAAAAAGTGGAATTGCTGCAAAAAAATGGATAAAGGCATATATTTTGTTAACTAAACTTTAACGTTTGTTTATCTAAACTTTGTTTATCTTTAACGCGGCGGCGGCGTGCAATGAATTCACTATCCTTATCTTAAGGGCAGATGTTTTTATTTTATTTGGCTTATAATTGCTTACTCAATGTAGTATTTCATCTCGATGTACTTCATCTTTGATATGATTTAAATCAAATGCCTCGTCATTATATTCGCTTTTATTCGCTTCCGATAGCGAAGAAAGTGACAGAGGTTATTGAAAACGAAAAAATTTCGATTGACAAATTAGTCGGTATTCTCGACACAGCAATTATAGGACGTGAACAGCGGAACTTTGTAACTGAACAAGAAATTATGTCTGTTTATAGAATTAAAGAGAATGTATTATCACATAAAAAACGAATCAACTTAAACAACTTACAATGAAAGAAATGTTTAATAAAGTAAACAAATAAATATTAAGCTTTTTTTTGTAAATTTTGATACCCTTTAGATCATAATTGTTCTTTATATTCGTAATTCGGAATTACGGTTTTATATTTTTAATTTTATAATTTCTGCATGCCATTTTACCAGATTTAAACTGATGATCTATAATCCGGAAAAATCGATAATCCGGAATCGCCGAAGTCCCGACGAGTCCGGATTAACGACTTTTGACTGTAGATATTTTGAGTTTTTATGCTGTGAAGTGAGAATTGAATTAATTGCATGAGAAATACTGAATTGTCTGTGAAAATCTGTTTCTTTTTTGTTTTGTTTACTTAATTTCTTTTATACATCATTCTAGATTTATTACAGCATTTGAATAGAACATGTGGCAACAATTAGATAATTCTTCAAATGATATAAATTTTGTGCATTCTGAGTTATAATATATAGTTATTATAGTTATAATATAAAGGAAATATAATGCTGTTAAGTGAACCTAGCACCAGAGCGTCGCTATGGTAAACAAATATAGTGGAATTTTAAAGAGTGCATTTATTCTATTGCTGTTTATGCGCTATCGACGAAGTAGATTTAATTTGATTCAATAAGTTAAAATGAAATGCAAGAAAAAATGTGTATAATTTAATATTCCGTACAAGGAAGTCATGTGGTGTACATATCAGATTTCTTCCTTTAATAAATCCAATATTTATAGTTCTGAAAAAAATTTATAAATTGAACACTAATTTTTTTCGTATATGAAGTTCCTTCTCCAAACAAGTCCCATACTATCATGCATTTTTATGAGCTTTCATTAATTTAGTTTAGTAAATCTTTTAGATATGCAGATAAAATTTTCTTTGAAAACAAATATCTTTTATGTTTAGACAGACTCATGCTATCAATACATGCCACAATATAATCTATTTTCTCATAGGACCAGAACATGGAAGTTTCACACAGTTTCCAGCTGATGTTGCTCTTAGTTTGCACAATAATGTGCTGATTACATCACTTAATTAGCCATTACATTCAATCAATACTTTTTAATATATATCATAATACGAATGTTACAGAAATCTTGTAATTGAAAAATCAGTCATGAAATGAAATATACTTTGAATAGAATAGAAGTGGCAAAGCCATGTAAAAATATGCCCAGATACTCCATTACCATCTGTAGCCCCAATAGATAAAATACATATCAGCGAGCACTGTGCTCATGTAATGATGCATACCACTAAAGATCCTCCGAGAGATTGATAATTTACATCATCAGACCACTTTCACTTACTGATCTCAAAAGCAACATTTCTGTACATGTTCCATTACAAAACTGGCTTATTTCAGTCCTATATACTCACTATGGCCTAGATAATTCAAACCTTTTTAATGAACACCTTAAAGTATTTTGTACCAAGAAGGGAGGTAAGAATAGAATTAGCCTTTTTATTGAAAAATGCCCTATTTATCTGAAAAAAAGAAAAGAAAAGAAAACCTGTTCAATATAAGTGTTAATTTCTTTACAGCTAATTCTACCCACATCAATAGCCAACTGACTCAAAAGCTGAATTTCACAAAAATCTAGAATTTATTGGAAACCAAGAATGTGATGTAAGAGAAGAGAGAAAAGATTATGCATAGAAGGAATGCATTGTAACCCTAGGAGTAACATTTTTCTGCCAGAGATGTTTATTATAGCCTACTACTCTAGAATAGGTACTTCTAGATTATTTTCCTTTCTTCTGGCTTTCTTTACCATGGTAATGACTGCTACAGAGTATTTATTCATTTCTTTAATATGCTAAAACTCCTAATATGGTGAAAGTGACACACAATATGATTACAAATGAGGGGTGGGTCACTACAATCTAAAAGTGCCTATAAGAGGATTTAATGTTAATGAAATCTTTCACTTCCGAACTAAAATGTTATGCTATTTAGTTGTGTGTAATCCTACCCATGAAGTTCTTATCACTTTTAAATAAAAAATAAATAAAAAAAAAAAGATCTAAAAAACTGTTAAATATAAGAAATAAATTATTTTAAGAAAAATAGATAAAATATTACAAAAAACTAAAAATTAAAATTGACTAATTACTATGAGAAAAAAATGTAAAAATTATAAAATGCAAGCTATGTGCATATTTTAAAATATTTATCACTCTTACTTTGCATTTTGATTCTTACATTTCACATACAAAAGATGAAATTTTAAAAATATTTAAAAATTTCAGTTCTTGTCAGAATCAGTTAATCCTTCTGGACAAATTTGCATCTGCCATCAGTACTAAATTATTGCTCTGGATGCTTGCAAATCCATGAATTTTGCATAGTTCTATGTTTTAGTTACATATTTTTCTCATTAATCCCTTGCTGCTTCAATTCCTAGAGGCGGATTTTAGAAAATAGTCATGATTTCTGAAGTTATACTCCTATTTCTGACACAAGAAGTCAAGAATAAGATATTAAAGAAAAAACGTTTAATTTCATAATGCTAAAATGAAATCACAATTGCATAATAAGCATATTTTGGATAGATGTTTTGAGGGAAAAAAGTTCCATATTAGATCTCAGTTTATTTTTATTCCTTGACTACAGGTTTTAAAATTTTATTGAAAAATTAAATGTTAATTTGGTTTATTTGATAGTAGCAAAGAATATGAAGGCTATCCGCCTAAGTGGGTAATGTCTTCATGAAGGACTTTCTAATGGAAACTGGTAATAGCCCAAAAGGAATTGAGAAACCCATGCTATCAGCCTGTGTGCTGATTTGAAACTGACTCGTATTACAGGTGTTCATGGTCTTACCCACTCAGCCACTGGAAGCTGCTATATATTACTCAAACTCAACTATAAATATTCTAGGGAAAAATTCAGTAATTTAAAACTCCACAATGTATCTTGCATAAAGATTAATTCTTAATAAAATTATGTGATACTGCATTTTCCTACAGTACTTTCCTTTCATAACTTCCTGCAAATGACTTCAAAATACACAAATTTTAACTAAGTTTACCATCTGAACATTTAACAAAAAATGTGACAAAATTCCTCCATGAATATAAACTACTGATTATAAAATTCACAATTTAAATGAAAAAATTAAATATATTTTATATAAATCAAACCAACTATTCACAATATTGTAAATGCACAGACTTAACAAGTGTTGAGAATGTTGAGAAATGAAATTTCTGTATACATTGTGAGAATGGTCTAGATCAGTGGTTCTCAACCTTTTGACTAATGTGCACCATATAAACAAAAATTGGAAACCTTTAGTACCACCATTACAAAGTATACCATTAGCACTCTTGAACAAAGCTCAGATCGCATAAACTCAATCAGGTTGCTGGGGTTTTAATTTTTGAATTTAACAGTTAAAATTACTTAGCTTCTTTGCATATCACCTATTTTTCTCTTGCGTACCACCAATTGAGGACCCCTTATCTAGATAATTTACTAAGAAGGTTTAAAAAAAGTAAAAACATATTGATACGAAATGTTAAGGCGCGGTAAAGTAGCTTCCCCACAAAGCAGTTTTAGGGTTGCCATAAAATGGCAAGGGAAGGTTCGGTTGCCCAATTTGGTGAGAAATTGCCCATTTGGTGACAAAACTGGCACTGTGCCATGGATGGATGGAGAACCTTCTGGAACGAATTCTTACCGGTTTAGCTTAGAATGTTCTCAAACACAAGCCGAAAGCTATATATAAATCCTGCTGGTTCGCAGTCAGTCGGTGTGCTTATGCCTCGCATAGAGTGCGAGTTAGTTAGTATCGAGTTGGTGTCTCGTCTAGCGAGTCAATCGAGTTGACAGCCAGGCAGCGAGTGCTGAGTGGGTCGTTGAGTGCATCGAAAGAGTCTCGTAGTGTATCACGGTCAGTGCATCGTCAAGAGCGCGCAGCTCCAGGAACGACTGAACCGAAGAGTCAGGAGCTGTGCTCGTGTGTCGTCGAGTGCATCGCGAGTTGTAGCGTGGAGAGTCTCGAGAGTACGTGGAGTTCTGAGAACAACCAAGCAGAGTCGGGAGCTGTACTCCGGAAAGCAGAGTCGGGTGCTTTGCAGGAAGCTGTCTCCACCATGATAGCCTGAAGGCCGTGTCGCTGATCGTGTCAATAGTAGATCTTCAATGACTGTAAAAGTGTTTTGGAGCTGTCCTGATTAATATTGATAAATAAAGTGTCTTTCGATACTTCATCAAGTGCCATCGTTATTCACTCCAAATCTACGAATCCCGTATGAACGTGAAGGAAGAAAATAACGTAACAGCTGGTGTCAGGAAGACAAAAACGCAACAATATACATTTGGATAAAAATCAACATCACTTTTGATAATTTTAAATTTTTTTAGCATAAAGCATTTCAGTTGAAAATAATAAATAACAGCCATATGACAGAAAATTAGACTAAGGAAAAGAATATGTTTAATTAGTTTTGCCATACTCGTTTCTCGAGTAACTAATAAATGATTAAGACTGTTCAGAAGGAGACATGAAAGCGCAAAAATGTTTTGAAAAGTATTATCACCCAGTACAACATACAATAAAAAGAAAAATACCCAATGCCATACAAAAAAATAAATGAAAAACTATGCTATTTCAAGACTGAATAGGGAATAGGACTGAATAGTGAAACAAAACCTGAACTTAAAATGGAAATATGTTTACAGCTACGGAAAATAAGAAAATTGCAGTTCACAAACTTTTTTTCATTAATCAATTTTGACATAAGAAAGTTTAAATAATATCCGACTGGTACATTCACATGCTGTGCTATGCAATGATATACGAGTTTCTTCTCCCTAACATGATTAAATCTTGATACCCAAGATTTATATTACTTAAAGTAAAATTTTCATGCTGGATCAATATATATTATGCCATATTTGCAAAGGAATAAAAACTGATGTAAAATATATGAAGTTTTCAGAACTTATGAATGAAATAACCAAATTCATTTGGAATAATGAAAAAAAATTGTCTCTTAAAGCAAATAAAAAGAAAACATAAGGCTCCTTTACTGTAGCAATAGCTTAAAGTTCTTCCTTTCAACAAGCAGTTTTGTCTGAGGAAATACAGACAGGCCAGAAATCAAAGTTTTTTTTTTAAAAAATCCTAGAATGGGATTGTTTTAAATCTTACTTTCATTTTACATTTAATAATTTCATTAATACTTTTAGTTGAATTGGTATAATGCAATAAAATACAAATATAAGCAGTTTTATAATTTAAGTTCAGCAGTTTATATTGCAAACATGAGAGAAAAAGCCATAAAATATGAGGAGTGTTATCATCCCATAAGAAATGTTTTTCAGGCAAAACATGTCCTAACATGTTTAATAAGTGATCTTCAAGGATATATAAATACTACCGTGCAAAGTCAGCTTCATTCAAATGAAATCTGGCTTGCAAGTACATGGCAACTAATTTGTAATATTAATAGCCTCTTATGAAAATGAAGGTCACAGAAGAGCCCATCATACATGCACGATTTACAAATTACTTCAAAAAAGACAATATGCAGCAAATTCTATAAAAAGTGTGGAAGAAGTGTATAGTAAATATGATCTGTTCTAAATATTCCCAACAGCCAGTGATGGTTCTGTAAATTTCAACAAGCCAACTTAGCTTGAAGTATGCCGGCTGATGGGATAGTTCATAACGATGCACTGAAAGCTGAAATTAAAAAGAATCTGCAGAAGAGATGAATTCATCATCAACAGTCCATCACAATTTAAAGAAATTAGAATCATGTCTAAGCTTATCAGGAGGATCTCAAATGAAATTACCGACTCAAATCAAGAAGAATGTCTGAATATCTGTACTGTTCTTCAACCACCTGATCTAGTGAAGGTAGTTTGAAGCTTATAAAATTTCAATAATAGGGGGAAATACAACTTCCATTAGAAACTTGAAGGACCTTCAAGTCTTTTTCTCTGATAAGCAAGTTGATTTCTTTAACAAATGCCATAAAAAACATATTACAATATTGGAGGAATGTTATCGATTCAGATACGAAATATATAACTCATTAAATTAGTACCTTAATTATTTTATTTCTTCAAAACCAACTTTAAAATATTACATTGTTCATGGGATGGTCCCAACACCTTTCCAATTATCTGACTCCCAATTTCAATATTCAGTGAAACCGCCATATTTTGGGCAAATGTTAGAGTATAAATGCTACAATAACCGAGTATAAATGCATATGCATATATCACATGTTCGACTATAATTGCATATGCATATATCACACACTGTTTAAACATAGATGGATCTACACCCTTGTATTTAACTGTCATTTCACTGAACAATATATACCAGGTGTAAAAATGTAAATATTTTTCACGAATATTCATTTTCCCCCCTAAAACTTGTTTCTTATACAATGCTTCTTTTTGTTACTTTTTATGAATATAACAATATTTACAAGCCATAATAACACCCAAATGAATGTTTCCACAAATTCACAAAGTGGTCAACAAATTTTCATGTTAGGGTGGATAATAAGAAAACACCGCATGGATTTTTTAAAAATTCATCTTAAGAAACCAAAAACTTAATATCTCAAAATACAAAATGTAAATCCATATGTCCAAGATTGAGAATTGTCAGACATTAGGATATATGGCAAAACAGAATTTAAATTAAAAAATAATTAAAATATGAAAATCAATTATAATCACCTTCTTACCAGCTTCTCTGCTGCTGTAAATTAAAATTTCTCGTGTCATAACTATATAAATTTGAATTATGTGGAAATATTGAGAAGATTACAAAATATTGTTTTAAATTATATACAACTGATAATTTGAAATGTAAAGATTTTAGCCTTAGTATTTTATTTGATGTTTAACTTCCTTTGAAAGTCATAATAATAAAAGTTAACATACATAATTAAGAAATTGCTGTGCAGTTAAAGAAACATTTTATTATCTGAAAAATAACATTTAAAATTTCAACGATTAAATTACAGAATATTCTCACTTACTAAATAATTTTACTCCACAGCTTTTAATGCATTATGTAATCAGATCTACCATATGAAACATATGCCCTGAAAATACAATAAGCACTTACACCAATGGCTTGAGGACTGTCTGAATAATCAACAGGCTGGCACTTCCAACTGTAAGTTCCAAACCACCCATAGATTCCAAACTGAAATACCAAAACATACATTAGTATGAATACAGATAACAATATACAGTATAAAGTCCAAACTCCAGACTCGTCAGGACTTCATCGATTCCGGATTTTTCTGGATATTAGATATTAGATTTCTGGATATTAAATCTAGTAAGATGGCAGCATGTAGAAATTATAAAATTTAAAACATGAAATCGTGATTTATGAAATAATGGAGTAGTTATGATCTAAAGAGTATCAAAATTTACAAAGAAAAAAGCTTAATATTTATTTGTTTACCATATCAAACATTTCTTTCAATGTAGGTTGTTTCTTTTTTTGTGCTAATACTTTCTCTTTAATTCTGTAGACAGACATAATCTCTTGTCGAGTTACATTGTTGAAGTCCTGTAACTGCCATTTTGAGAATTCAGATTAACTTGTCAATCAAAATTTTCTTGTTTTCGGTAACTTCTCTGTCACTTTCTTCATGATCGGTAGCGGTATTTTCTGGATCAAGAACCATACTATAAATTTTTTCCATTCATTAATTGATTGATGATTGAGAAGCACTGTCATCACAATGAAAAACTTCTTTTATATCAACTTCATTTATTACTGCTTTTCCACATTTCTTTACAAAATCCATTAATTGGAAATTTTCACCTTTGTTTTGCGATATCCAAAAACCCTTAAAATTAGCGGCTATCATCATCAAATTTAGCTATTCTTCACTATACATATTTGGCTATGCATCATGAGCTTGGCGACTAATGACAAGTTGTTCTGTTAAATTTTATCTTGCTTCTATCGCGCACTGAGACAATTAAGACTGAATTGTATTAGTTTAGTTATTTATTATGCTTATGTCTATTTTTTGCACATGCTTAAGGCTTGTCAGAGTTCTGAATAAATAAATTCAGACATATACTTAAGCCTTATTGAGGACCAATTCTAGATATCTTACCACCTGATGCCTGTGGGTCCTAAAGCCATACAAGCCCTTGCGCTGGTTCTGGGTTTATGTGAATAAAAAATCAGTTATTCTTAATTCAAATAGCCCTAAATGTAATCTTTGGGTCTAAAAGTTTCATCAACAAAATCTATTTTTAGCACATGGAAAGAAATTTTTGGTAAATTTTTCCTGGTCAACATTTTTTAACACAATTAACTTACATCTGTAATGATCGCCTAGCGTAATGTCAACATATAAGGTTACCATACTCTTTTATTATTCAATTACTAACATAAAAAAATTTTTTTAGGCATTGCTACATGAATCATTACTCAAGTTGTCATGTTTTGATAAACATGCGGTGATGAAAGGAAAGTAAAATAAATAATGATTCGCCTGGTTGGCGTCAGATCAATGATGTACCTATGTGGAATGTTTCGGTTTGAGGTGTGTGCCAAGCAGATATGCAGCAATGGAGCCAAATTACTGATCGTACAAATTTATGCTAAAATGATTGTTTCTTCAATAACAAGATATTTTATTTAGTGTCAAAGTGAAATTAAGAATCGGGACTCTCTAGATGTTTTATTCCACGCACAGGGGGGGAATCAAATGCGTATGCGTAAAGCCTTGGAGAAAAAGTTGGTGGTGGCTTTGAGGTCTGGATTTTACATCATTCCGGATAATGGACTTTGTACAGTACAGCTTTAATAAAGCTGCTATCTTCCTAACATCTCTTACAAAACAAATTAGTTAAAATCTACTTATTAATACAACTGATGCATACATAAATTGAAATTCAGTTGGAAAACAATAAGCATTATTTTCAATAAAAAGCTTTAGTTCAATGGATTATAGCTGCTATATAGAAAATAAAATCTTTAGATGGAAAAAATTGGAAAATCATATGCAGTAGTGCACATAAATATCTTAAACAAGCATGATGCAGTTAAAATAAATCTTTCAAAATTTCTTTTTATATGAAAAGCCATAATCAATCATCACTTTTCCTTTTAAACGAGTTTATTAATTTAGTTTAACCCATAATAAGATATCTAGACTTTATTGTTCAAATCTAAAATTAAAAACTAATTAAATTTACATTACAAAAATTAATGGATAATATCTTAAAATAAAACAAATATTTAAATAAAAAATTTTTAAAATTACAAGTATATACTCATAACTTCAGTAAAAAATAGCTGCTCAGGTTTACCAAAAAAAAAAATTAGTATTAAGCACAAAAACAAATATGCAGTTACAAAACTGAATAAATAGTTGAGAAAATAATTTTAATGCTTATTTTGATGTACTGAGAATTATAATTACTGAAACAACATTTTTTATATGTATATGTATATATATATACGAGGGCCATCCAGGAAGTAGATTACGTTTCCGTCTGTGTCCGCTAGGGGCGGGGCTAGCGCGGCCATCTTGGGGTCAGAGCGTTGCGCAGCTCAGTCTGCATCTAGCCGTGCTAGTGAGAGGTTCGTGCTATGCTCCGTTCAGATACTGTGACGGTTTGAAATGTCTGCGTTAATTGAAAATCCCGCGAGCTGCGAGGTGCGCTCAGTAATAAGGTTTCTGACTGCAAAAAACTGTAAACCGATAGAAATCTATCGGCAGCTTCGTGAAGTGTATGGGGACAACATTATCACTGAAGGTGGAGTGCGTCAGTGGGTCATAAGATTTCAAAATGGCCGAACCAATGTTCACGACGAAGATCGAAGTGGGAGACCCAGCATAGTGACCGCCGAACTTCTCGAAAAAGTCGATGCTAAAGTCCGTGAAAATCGAAATTTCACAATAATGGAACTTTGAGTTTTCCACAAATTTCACGAAGTTTGTTGCACGAAATCATCAGCGAAAAGCTTGGTTACCACAAGTTTTGTGCAAGATGGATTCCAAAAATCTTGACAGAGGACCACAAAAATCAGCGAATGGCTGCAGCGTTGAACTTTTTGGACGCTTACCATAAGGATGGTGACTCTTTACTCGATCGCATCGTTACTGGTGACGAAACATGGGTGAAACATGTGAACTGTGAAACAAAATTGCAATCAATGCAGTGGGGGCACACAAGTTCTCCCCAAAAACCCAAGAAATGCATGCAAACAATGTCGGCAAGGAAGATGATGGCGACTGTTTTTTGGGACAGAAAAGGTGTAATTTTGGTGGACTTCCTGGAAAGAGGCACTACAATAAACTCTCAAAGGTATTGCCAAACTCTCCATAAACTCAGAAGAGCAATTCAAAACAAGCGCAGAGGAATGTTGAGCTCTAAGATCTTGCTGATTCACGACAACGCCCGGCCCCACACGCAAATGTCACTCATAAAGTTCTTGAATCTTTTAAGTGGGAGTTGTTTCCTCATCCGCCGTACAGTCCCGACCTGGCACCGAGCGACTTCCACCTATTCCCAGCAATGAAGAAGTGGCTGGCTATGCAGCGTTTTGATGACGACGCACAGCTGCAAGAAGAGGTAACGAAGTGGTTGAAGGCGCAGGCGGCCGAATTTTTCGACGAAGGAATTTCCAAGCTCGTACATCGCTACGATAAATGCCTTAATTTGTATGGTGACTATGTAGAAAAGTAGTATTTGAGTGTGGCTTTCATCTGTATATAATAAAATTTGTTTCCTATACTTTGTTTATTTTTTTATTCCAAAACGTAATCTACTTTCTGGATAGCCCTCGTATATATATATATATAACATAGTTTTAGTTTAAAGAAAGAAATTTTATAATTCAAGAAACTTACACCATAGAAAATTAAAAAACTGAATATAACCATAGCAAAGTTATATGTTGCCATAAGCCACCGGATATCTAAAGGCTCTCTGTTCTTCATCAAATGAGGTCCTAAATATTTTACTACATACACGTATGACAGGCATATTACTAGTGTTGGTAAAGGACTTTGCATCATTGGCCAGTTTGTAACCCTTGGATCTGTAAAAAAATTAGTCAATGCTAAGATTTTGAAAATTGTATATAAAATTCTAAAAAAATTATCCGTAGAAAAAACTGAATTAAAAAAAATTACAGAAATGTCCCAACAAAATTTCGCAAAATACAGATTTCATCACAATATTCAACTAGGAAACACGAAGCATCACCAGTTTCAATGTGAGCCTTTGCAATCTTCAGAAATTTTTCTTCAAGAATCCTTTCTTCAAGAAGCAGTTATTCGTAATTTTTTTTTTTTAACCCTTAGTCTTCAGAATCCAACAGCTACACTCTGCATAATTTTTCTCCACCTCACCTGCGATTTTCCTAAGCCTCATTTCCAGCAAGAAGCACATTTTTTTAATTAATGTAACAGATTATATAACCCATTGCTTTAATTTTCATAAACTTAATGTAATCAGGTTTTTTAAAAACCTTACAGCTCAAATCTAACCATCATATTTCAGTTCCTAGTATTAAAATTTTTGTGCACATGTCTTCATTTCTATTCATTTAATTTCTGATTCAAAACTTATTTCCGATTTTCAAAATTTATATATTTACTTGATTAAACATACAGCACTAATTTCTTTTTATTAATTCATATGTCTATAGTATTGCACTGCTTACAGGCCAACACACATACCATTTTTGTTCAAATGTACAATACCTTCATATTCAGAGGGAAAAATTTTTTACTAATTAATATAATTCTTAATTATATTTTACAATATAATTTACAATATAATTAAGATACTCTACAACAAAACAAATTACTTGTATGCACACATGATACTGATATGTCATAGACATTTTACAAAAATAATTAAATGAATACAAGTAATTTGAAATAAATTACTTGTATGCACAATGGTCTCGTACACATGACACTGATATGTTGTAGACATTTTACAAAACTAATTAAATGGTGAAATATCATATTTTGAAATAAAAATAATCAAATTTTTCTTTTAATATAAAAGTTAAAGAATAAAAAAATATTTTTAAGTATATTAACAAGGTTTTCAGAGGCTGTTTTAAAAGAAAACATCTTACATTTGGGCCAATATGACACCTAACTAATACTTTTTTAGTCTCATCTTTAATAACATCTACAAACCCAAGCACTTAATATAGATTTAAAAATATGCTTTCCCAAGTATGATCTTGCACAACTTTTATATTTTTATGATATATTTATAAATTTAATGAGTTCCACTTTTAAATTTTACTTACATTAATATATTTTAGATACATATTTAAATAATTATGTTTTGAGAAATTACTTTTTCAAACATTCTGCTAACAAATATGCAATATGTGCTGCATCTATAGTTAATTTATCTTTATGCAGTTAATGTACAAATAGACAGTTCGAATACTCATTAGAACAATGATAAAAAAAGTTTGAAATTTAAAATTAGCTCTAATAACATAAATAAGATAACTCAGGATGATTTTTATTTTTTCCCCCATAATACAAGAAAACTGAAAAAATCATCTCTTATTTTAAATCTAATAAAATTAATTATGAAATATAATTTTAAATATGCAAATACAATGATTAAAGTTCCATTAACTTCTAAAGTTAATTTAAGCAGTTTAATAATCCCTTTTAGCATTACTGGAATATGTAGAATAAATAAATGTGTAAAATAATACTAAACAAATTAAATACTGGATTTTGTTAGTAAATAAAAATATTTTTTTCAGCTTATAAATTTATTCTACAGTTCTTTCAACTTAATATTTCAAATATGTACTTATTTATTAAACTGCAATTACATATAGTTTTCAGCTGTACATCTTTCACCCCAATATCAAAATATATTTTAACGTGTTAAAAGCATTTCTCGAAATCTCAATCTTTCTTCATAATTAACATTACATGAAAACATTAATATACATAATCCACATCCCCTGAAATGCATAATGCCAACCCAAAACATTGAATTATACTGCAAATATCTGGGCTCCAGTTATACCTGAATGATTAAAAAATACATTTTAAAACAGGAGACCAATTAAAAGAAATAAATTACTTGTTATTTAAAACCAAATAATTTTATATATATTGTAGTTTAATGAGAAATTGAAATATTTACCTTCATTTATCACAAACAATATTATACATTCAGCGTATAATAAAAATTTTTACTTATATCAAGCTTTGAATTTATTCCGCATTTAAAGTACATAGTTAGAAATAAAAGAGGAAGATGATCCTTAAAAAGTACAAAAATTAAAATACAAAAATACTTAATTCAAATAAGTAGATATTAAAAATAAAATCAATGCTTTAACATTTTATTAATACCAGTCTTAAATTAAAATTTATTTTTATCACTGTTTTAGCCAGTGCATAATGAAAATGGAAGAAACTAATAGTACATTACTGTAAATAAATCAATTTATTTAACATTTAGCACAATAATGAATTAAAAATTTGTGAAATGTGCAAGGTTTTGAAATAAAGTAATACTTTTAACCCTTAACACATTATTACTTTTGATGGAGTAACTTTCTTCAGTACACATTAAAAAATAGCAAAAATAATTTACTTTTAAATAGTTTCAAATGGCAATAATAGATGGTTGCACATAATTTTTTTTTTCCAGCAACAAACACATTTTATTATTTAGATAGAGAAGTCAAATTACAACTATTTAATTTTATTCAACAATTTTTAAGAACTCCACAACCATTTTATTATTTATAGTTTAGTTTACACACCATTTTATTACTTATAGTTTAGTTTACACACTACAAATATAATTTAAACAATACAGATGGACCATTAATTAGGATCCTATCCTGAAAGTTTTGCTTGTTTTTATTTGATATAACTGATGCATCTAATTTTCAAACTGATTTCTTTAATATTTTTTACTGCTGATATTTAAATTGTAGCATTGATTTTAGACTAGAATACAAATTAACTACATATAAATCTTTATTTTCGCAAACTCTGTATTGATCGTTTCTAAAAAACATGAAATAACTCTTGAAGTTCTTATATGTTTTAGACATTCTCAGGTTCATAAAATATCAAACCACATGTTAATGCTACTGTTAGAAGAATTAAAAATAATAATGCACGATTTTGAAGCACCCGGCTTTTACAGTTCATTGCACAATCTTAAAAAGCATGGAACATTATGCTGACTACAGCCTACAGAATTTAAAGGCAAATAGAAATAGCCAACAAGCATGAAAGGCTTACCAGCATTTTCGAAGGTATGATTATAAAGTTGGACCATTTCTTCCCACACCATTTTTGGGCGGATGCTTTTGAGTCAAATATGAGTTTGCAACGCGCCGACCAGGTACTTTTAAGAGTATCGAGCACCGGAAAAATCGTCCGAAACAGGCGATTTCCTCCTCATTTAACCAAAGCCGACACCACACCTGACTAAACCAAGTCGCGGAGAGGGTGAAGGGAGTTGATACGCCTGCAGCGCCACTAATCGGAACGATGTAAACCAATGACTTAAATAATAAAAAAAGCAAAAATGATTTGTAATGAAATAAACAAAAAGAGACTATAAGGTTGATATTTAATTTCCAAACGCGTGTTAAATACTTTGCAGGTTCCAATGAATCAGCGTGAAAGATATAAATTTAAAATTCTACAAGAGACATATTTACACAGAGAGAGTAAAAAATAAGAGTGGAATTAAAAATTCTTGTCTTTTATCAGTGAGCACGAAAGATACTTAAAATAGCATAAACTGACATTAGGTAGCATTATACTGCCGTTTAGACATAAAGGTATTTAACCAATGTCTAGTGCGATTTTCGGGTCTGTGATACCCGTATGTAAATCTTTAGGATGTACTGTGAGTTCATTTTATTATTTTTATTTAATACATTTGCATGCTATTGAAATCCAAGAAATGTGTTACAATCAATTAAATCATTGAAGTTTATATTATAAAAGATTATTACAGAAATTTTACTTTTCTTGGCAACTCTCGTTATTACAGGCCTTAATATTCCCGCTTATAATTTTTTTTTTTTTTTTTTTATGACCGAATTCACACGGGGAACTTTACTTAAAGTTTAAGATGTAAATAACACTACTGCCGATGAGATGTGTGGAGCAGCACCTTTATTATTATTATGATTATTATTTACTTGTTCCGCCCTAAGGCACTGCACAGAAAGGAGGGATGCCTTAGGGGAGAACTTTCTAAGGGAAACTGGCTTGTATTGCCACTTTACACATGGAAAAGACCACGAAAACGCCCGGATTCGAATCTTCGACCAAATTGTCAGTGTTTAGGGATTTGACCGCTCTGCAGATATTGGGTCCAACAGCACCTTACGGCAGAATATCGGAGAGATAGAGCTGGAGAATCGGGCGGAAAAACAGCAGTTGTGCATTGGTTCGATTGCCAGTGATAAGGGTTTTCACTAAAGGCCGCCCCCCTCCCCTATGCTGAATTTAACGGAGGAGCAATTGTGTTCAAAATTAAATTAAATTAATTGCTTATGTATTGAAAAGTGCTAGCGGTACACACTTCTTCTAGGAGAGAAGCAATTATGTTCATCCAGACACTGGATAATTCCTAATGCCGTATGTAAAATGCAAACACAATCAAATGAAATCCTTTATGTTAGAAAAGTTAATCCAAATGCTTCCCTTAAAGCTCGTAACAAATGGAATATTAAAATTAATCATGGACCTTTTGAGACAGAGCTCTTCACTACCCTTTTATACATAACGAGAAGGAAAGAAAGGTAGTTAGGTTAGACTCTTTGAATATCGTTAAGCTCACTAGAGTTCTCTGTCTAGGAGAAGAAAAGTTTTCGTGGAGGACTTTCTGAAGGAAACTGACTCGTGTTCACGTTACACATGGGAAAAACCAAGAAAACTAAATCCGTCGGTCATTGTGGGCAAGGGTGGGAGGAAGAAAGCAAAAAACGAAAAGAAAAACAGTAGCTATGAATATGAAGGAAGGAAACGAAAAGAATTCTTCCATACTCATGTATAAATAAATAAAAACACTGTGTATATTTTTTTATACTTTGTTCTTAATATATTTTTAACATCTATCGTTTGATTGTCTTTTACCTCGATAAAGGACGAAAATGGTCTTAACGCATTTTACATAAGGCTTGCTTCTATGATCGTTTCTTCACAAGATTTGATAAAGTTTACAAAATCTTTATCGATGTTTTTCATTTTGTAATTTTTTGTTCAGCACATTATTAATTATAAAAAAATGTTAAATTTGGTGTGTTTTTTCCCCCTCCTCTTAATTTGCTAATTCTTAATTTTGCTCTTTTGCAGCTGAAGATGGTCGTTCGGTAAAAACTAGTCCTGCGAAAATTTGAAAATTTAACGCTGATTTTTGTTGTTTGACTTTTGAATTAGTAATTCTTAATTCTCAAGGATATATTAAAAGGAGTTATTTGCAATTAATCTAATGTATATAATAGAAAATACGAAATATAAAAATATGAAAGTCTTCAACTTGGCACTGCATATTTAATTCCTACTCTTAACACCAAAATTTAGAATTAATTAATGGAAACACTTCAACATAATTTCTGATGAAAACGATTATAGAAACTGAAACCAGCTCATGGATTAACAGCAAACTCAATGAGAGCATTATATTCCACCATTTGGCGTAAATGAGATAAAAGATAATTAATTAAAATTGATTAATAATATTTCTGAAAAATGTATTCAAATACAAAGTGCTAAAATGAAGTAAACATAACTGAAACTGTGTAAAAACAAAATCCAATACAACAAAATTTTGCTGAAAAGAAATTAACAGAGCATTCTAGACTCTTTCCTCCAAAGCAGTATTTTATATTGTATTTCATTTATATTTATATTTAATTTTAGTTCAGTTTAACGGTATTTCCATTTTACAAATAAATTGACAATAAAAAGATATGATATTGCAGAGTCATTAGGTTGTTTTATTACTATTTAATTGTTCCTTTCTAAGGCACTACACGGAAGGGAGGTATGCCTTCGCGGAGGACTTGAAGTCCTTCATTGGCTCGTATTAACACGTTACACACAGGTAAAAATACGAAAATGCCCATGCAGCCAGCTCGTTCGTCGGGATTCGAATTTCGAGCCTAACTACCAGCGTTCAGGGACTTTTACCGCTCGGCCACTGGTGGGCCTATTAGGTTATTTTGAAGCAGGAAATGAAAAATGTGCAATGTGCTCGCCGGGACTCGAACCCTAGACCTCTCGCATACGCGATTGTGCTTCCAATTACACCTCGAAAGCATGCTTGTTTCAAAAATCACTACTTTCTGTAAAAGATTCAAATTAACTATTGAAATAGATTTTGGAAAAATTACTGCCGATTTTACTTTGTTAAAAACAAGAAAATTTAACTGCGAAAAATATTGTTACATTTTTCTTTACACGGTACGGTACGGGTTCGTGGATTTGGAATGAATAACGACGGCACTTTATGAAGTATCAAACACAATTTATTACCCAGTATTAGTCAAGAAAGCTCCAATAACACGTTTACAATTCGTCGAAGAACTACTATAAACACGCTGAAACAATCAGCGACACAGCCTTCAGGCTATCAGGCTATAACGGTGAAGACAGCTTCACGGCAAAGCACCAAAGTACAGCTCCCGACACTGCTCGGTCGTTCTCGGAACTCTACGTACTCTCGAGACTCTCCACACTGTAACTCGCGATGCACTCGATGATACACTAGAGTACAGCTCCCGACTCGATTCAGTTGTTCCCGAAGCTCAACACACTCTAAGATCAAACTCGGCGATGCACTATCTCACGATACACCAAGAGACTCTCTCGATGCACTCGACAACCAACTCGGTACTAGACTAGGCACTCACTGAGAGACCATCAACTCGATGGAATTCGCACGCACTACGAGACACTCTCTCACTGACTTTTGACTAGGCACTCTCTGACTGTCTATCACCTCGCTAGACAAGACACTGACTGACTCTCCAATCAATCAATCAATGCAATTTATGCCGGGATGTCGCTGTGAGCACGTGACGTATCCGGCTCAATAATACTTATGCCGCGAGGGCACATGACAGTGTAAATTCAGGGCCTGGTAGGAGGAGTTTCGGACTTAGAAAAAGGAAGGCGTGACACGAGGCATCACAAGCAGTATGGCAATCAAACAAGCTCGAAGACCAGAAGAGGCGTTGAACGAGAGGTTCATATGAAAGGGAGAGAGAGAATCATATTAGAGAACATTCTGGGCCAAACCGGTAAGAATTCGTTCATGACAAGTGGGTGACTGATTCTCCGCGTACCAGCAGGGTTTATAGCTTTTGGCTTCTTCTAGAGAACATTCTGGGCCAAACCGGTAAGAATTCGTTCCAGAAAGTATTCCATTCGTATATGGCATACTGTCGATTTTGTCGCCAAATGGGCGATTTCTGGCCAAATATTGCAACCCTGCCTTTCCTTGCCATTTTCTGGCAACCCTAAACCTGCTTTGCGGGGAAGCTATCTTACCGCGGCTAGACATATCGTAACAATATCTTGAATACTAATTCATTTTTTATATCATTTCAGAGATATTAGCTGAGTATTTAAATGGTATTTTTATCTAAAAATTATAAACTTTTGTATGTATTAATTCTCAAAATATATAGTGTTATGATTACAAACATTACAAAATAATATGATTTAGTTATAGCTAATTTTATTGGCTGTAAAAGTATATCTCGGGTGAAAAAATAGCGAGGCATGGCTTTGCCAGGAGTATTGTCCATTCCCTGTACACCAGTTGGATATTTCTTAGCATAGTAAATGAATCTATAACAGATTTATTATTTAGGTAAAGCATTTAAGAAATCAAATCTTACGTAAAAATAATGTATCAAAATGTAGAAAATGTACCAAACTGTTTCTATACAATTTGAAAAAATGATAATCAGTATCGGGATATATTTATAAACAAAATTAAGAACAGTTAATTAAAATTAAAGCTGCTATTAGAGAATCAAAAATTTTCCATTTTCTTAAAACAACTCTCAGAAAATGTATTCAAAAAATTTTTTAAAAAAATGTCTAATGTGGTCTCAGAGTCTCCTTCAAAATTCACCGTTATGAACTGCCGGAAATAAAAAGGATTCTATTTCCAGAAACATTTTGAAAAGATAATATTAGATTAATGCAAGTTGCCAATTCCGTCTGCTCTAAATATAGGTAAAGTACGAGCTAGAACATAACAATTAAATGCATATGTTACTACTGGTCTGGTCGCTCTTTTTTCTTAATCTTTTTTTTCTTTTTTCTCTCTCTCCCACCCCTTTCCCTAGGGTTATCTTTTTTTGTTTTTGTATTTGTTTTTGTTTTTGTTTTTGTAAAGTTTCATAAAGTAGTACCAAAA